GCAATTTAAAGCATTTTTGGTTTCGATCATAGTAGGCTTTTTTTCAAAAAAATATCGATTTTATATCTATATTAGCATTCTTTATCATTTATAATACCTATGGCCAATTCTATGGATGACTTTTGGAAAATTTTCAGCAAAAAATCGAAATTTTATTGATTTTTCCCATCAGAGACACTGATTTTATGATTCTTATCGGTGTAAAAATCTAAAATATACACTACTTTTGATATCATATACTTCTAATCGCCGTATTAATTAAGTTATTTGGATTCTTTAGTCAATAACTCGATGACAGAAATCGGAATTATCAATTTTCATCATCCAAAGAATCGAAAATTAGAGAAAACTATTGATATCCACATTGAATAACTTTTACTGAGTTATAGAACAGACAAAAATCTTTAATTAGGTTGCTTTTTTGTGTGCTTTAAGTCATTAATTAATGAAATATTTTAATTCTTTGAAAAATTTCCTTGTGTCATCGAGTTATAAGAAAGCTTTTTTTTGTCTTAATCCGTGAAAAAATACAAAATTTTCAAACATATTTTTTCAATTTTTCACTTAATTTGGGTGAGTTGTAACATTTCAATAGATCAATTGTAAAGAATTAATTATGATTTATGATCTACGAAAGTTTTGGCTTATTATTCCTTCACAGTTGTATGAAATTAAAGAAAACATTTTATTGACACAAAACTCATTGACATTGGATTATGAAAGCTCATTTTTTTTTCAAATTCCACTCATCCAAAGAATTGCCCCTATATATGTTTTAAAATGCAATTTAAAGCATTTTTGGTTTCAATCATAGTAGGCTATTTTCAAAAAAATATCGATTTTATATCTATATTAGCATTCTTTATCATTTATAATACCAAGATATGTTTTAAAGAGCAATTTAAAGCATTTTTGGTTTCAATCATAGTAGGCTATTTTCAAAAAAAAACTAGTAATGAAGCCGATCACGCTTCATGGGAATATTCACACAATCCTATAGAACTCTCTATGTACTGTTCAGAAAATATTGAAAGATCTTCTCTCAATAAAATGTAAAACTTAAACTAAACATTTTAGTGTATTATCAACAAAGTAAAAAATGCCTTAAAAACACGTTTTACAAAGAAAATCATGGTTCCAGTGTCGCAAAAAATACAATACTTAAAATTATAAATAAAAAAATACGACTTTTGAAGAAAGCCATTAACTCCCTGTTGTAGATCAGACTTAAACATAGTTTACAGTCTTGGATAGTTTTGCAACTTCCGCTGCGCTCCAGTTGCTACTCCGCAGTCAGTCTCTTATGTAGATCAGACTTCAAAATAGGTTACAGTAGGTTACAGTCTTCGATAGTTTTGCAACTTGTGTGCTCCGTTTCGTTCAACTGTTTATAGATTACAGTAGGCTCTTGTATAGGTTACAGGTGTAAAATAATGATCTCAGTAGTCTGAGAAAATAAAAAAAATCAGTTGAAAAACACGAACAAAAACATTAAGACGTGTTTCATTAAAAATTAAAAATAAAACAACAGGTGTGTTGAACTCAGATCTTATAGATTACAGTAGGTTTATAAATTACAGGTGTGTTGAACTTCAATATCAATATTTATTTTTAAATACTTTTAAGGTCATAGATGCAACCAAATTATCTAGATCGATCTGGATTTTTAAAAACGGGTAAAATTTTCACGCCTTCACTTCGCTTCGCTCCGTTCAGGTCGTAAAAATTTGTGAGCTTCGCTCAACCTAGTTTAGATTTATAGGTTACAGGTGTGTTGAACTCCACTCCGTTTCACTCCGTTTCGTTCAACTGTTTATAGATTACAGTAGGTTTATAGGTTACAGGTGTGATGAACTTCACTCCGTTTCACTCCGTTTCGTTCAACTGTTTATAGATTACAGTAGGTTTATAGGTTACAGGTGTGTTGAACTCCACTCCGTTTCACTCCGTTTCGTTCAACTGTTTATAGATTACAGTAGGTTTAAAGGTTACAGGTGTGTTGAACTCCACTCCGTTTCACTCCGTTTCGTTCAACTGTTTATAGATTACAGTAGGTTTATAGGTTACAGGTGTGTTGAACTTCACTCCGTTTCACTTCGTTTCGTTCAACTGTTTATAGATTACAGTAGGTTTATAGGTTACAGGTGTGATGAACTTCACTCCGTTTCACTCCGTTTCGTTCAACTGTTTATAGATTACAGTAGGTTTATAGGTTACAGGTGTGTTGAACTCCACTCCGTTTCACTCCGTTTCGTTCAACTGTTTATAGATTACAGTAGGTTTAAAGGTTACAGGTGTGTTGAACTCCACTCCGTTTCACTCCGTTTCGTTCAACTGTTTATAGATTACAGTAGGTTTAAAGGTTACAGGTGTGTTGAACTCCACTCCGTTTCACTCCGTTTCGTTCAACTGTTTATAGATTACAGTAGGTTTAAAGGTTACAGGTGTGTTGAACTCCACTCCGTTTCACTCCGTTTCGTTCAACTGTTTATAGATTACAGTAGGTTTATAGGTTACAGGTGTGATGAACTTCACTCCGTTTCACTCCGTTTCGTTCAACTGTTTATAGATTACAGTAGGTTTATAGGTTACAGGTGTGTTGAACTCCACTCCGTTTCACTCCGTTTCGTTCAACTGTTTATAGATTACAGTAGGTTTAAAGGTTACAGGTGTGTTGAACTCCACTCCGTTTCACTCCGTTTCGTTCAACTGTTTATAGATTACAGTAGGTTTATAAATTACAGGTGTGTTGAACTTCACTCCGTTTCACTTCGTTTCGTTCAACTGTTTATAGATTACAGTAGGTTTATAGGTTACAGGTGTGTTGAACTCCACTCCGTTTCACTCCGTTTCGTTCAACTGTTTATAGATTACAGTAGGTTTATAGGTTACAGGTGTGTTGAACTCCACTCCGTTTCGTTCAACTGTTTATAGATTACAGTAGGTTTATAGGTTACAGGTGTGTTGAACTCCACTTCGTTTCACTCCGTTTCGTTCAACTGTTTATGGATTACAGTAGGTTTATAGGTTACAGGTGTGTTGAACTCCACTCCGTTTCACTCCGTTTCGTTCAACTGTTTATAGATTACAGAAGGTTTATAGGTTACAGGTGTAAAATATAATCTCAGTAGTCTGAGAAAATAAAAAAAAATCAGTTGAAAAACACGAACAAAAACATTAAGACGTGTTTCATTAAAAATTAAAAATAAAACAACAGGTGTGTTGAACTCAGATCTTATAGATTACAGTAGGTTTATAAATTACAGGTGTGTTGAACTTCAATATCAATATTTATTTTTAAATACTTTTAAGGTCATAGATGCAACCAAATTATCTAGATCGATCTGGATTTTTAAAAACGGGTAAAATTTTCACGCCTTCACTTCGCTTCGCTCCGTTCAGGTCGTAAAAATTTGTGAGCTTCGCTCAACCTAGTTTAGATTTATAGGTTACAGGTGTGTTGAACTCCACTCCGTTTCACTCCGTTTCGTTCAACTGTTTATAGATTACAGTAGGTTTATAGGTTACAGGTGTGTTGAACTCCACTCCGTTTCACTCCGTTTCGTTCAACTGTTTATAGATTACAGTAGGTTTAAAGGTTACAGGTGTGTTGAACTCCACTCCGTTTCACTCCGTTTCGTTCAACTGTTTATAGATTACAGTAGGTTTATAGGTTACAGGTGTGTTGAACTTCACTCCGTTTCACTTCGTTTCGTTCAACTGTTTATAGATTACAGTAGGTTTATAGGTTACAGGTGTGTTGAACTCCACTCCGTTTCACTCCGTTTCGTTCAACTGTTTATAGATTACAGTAGGTTTATAGGTTACAGGTGTGTTGAACTCCACTCCGTTTCACTCCGTTTCGTTCAACTGTTTATAGATTACAGTAGGTTTATAGGTTACAGTTATGTTGAACTCCACTCCGTTTCGTTCAACTGTTTATAGATTACAGAAGGTTTATAGGTTACAGGTGTAAAATATAATCTCAGTAGTCTGAGAAAATAAAAAAAATCAGTTGAAAAACACGAACAAAAACATTAAGACGTGTTTCATTAAAAATTAAAAATAAAACAACAGGTGTGTTGAACTCAGATCTTATAGATTACAGTAGGTTTATAAATTACAGGTGTGTTGAACTTCAATATCAATATTTATTTTTAAATACTTTTAAAGTCATAGATGCAACCAAATTATCTAGATCGATCTGGATTTTTAAAAACGGGTAAAATTTTCACGCCTTCACTTCGCTTCGCTCCGTTCAGGTCGTAAAAATTTGTGAGCTTCGCTCAACCTAGTTTAGATTTATAGGTTACAGGTGTGTTGAACTCCACTCCGTTTCACTCCGTTTCGTTCAACTGTTTATAGATTACAGTAGGTTTATAGGTTACAGGTGTGTTGAACTCCACTCCGTTTCACTCCGTTTCGTTCAACTGTTTCTAGATTACAGAAGGTTTATAGGTTACAGATCGTACTGAATTTTTTTAAACTGGGTAAAATTTTCACGCCTTCACTTCGCTTCGCTCCGTTCAGGACGTAAAAATTTGTGAGCTTCGCTCAACCTAGTTTGGATTTATAGGTTACAGGTGTGTTGAACTCCACTCCGTTTCACTCCGTTTCGTTCAACTGTTTATAGATTACAGTAGGTTTATAGGTTACAGATCGTACTGGATTTCCAAATGTATCGACCAAGAATCCAAAATTAACCATGTTTACAACTCAGAACCAAAAGTATGTAAAATTTTAATTATTTTTGAAACTTGGAGCCAAGATCCAGTAAAGTTTGGATCATGGCTGAAACTTAAAACCAAGATCCAGTAAACTCACAATCATGCCTGCACCAAATTACCAAGATCCAGTAAAGTTTTAAGAATGTCTGAAACTTAAAACCAAGATCCAGTAAAGTTTTAATCATGTCTGAAACTTAAAACCAAGATCCAGTAAAGTTTTAAGAATGTCTGAAACTTAAAACCAAGATTCAGTAAAGTTTTAAGCATGTCTGAAACTTAAAACCAAGATCCAGTAAAGTTTTAAGCATGTCTGAAACTTAAAATCAAGATCCAGTAAAGTTTTAACCATGTCTGAAACTTAAAATCTAGATCCAGTAAAGTTATAAGCATGTCTGAAACTTAAAATCAAGATCCAGTAAAGTTTTAAGCATGTCTGAAACTTAAAATCAAGATCCAGTAAAGTTTTAAGCATGTCTGAAACTTAAAATCAAGATCCAGTAAAGTTTTAAGCATGTTCGAAACTAAAAACCAAGATCCAGTAAAGTTTTAATCATGTTTGAAACTTAAAACCAAGGTCCAGTAAAGTTTAAAGCATGTCTGAAACTTAAAATCAAGATCCAGTAAAGTTTTAATCATGTCTGAAACTTAAAACCAAGATCCAGTAAAGTTTTAAGCATGTCTGAAACTTAAAACCAAGATCCAGTAAAGTTTAAAGCATGTCTGAAACTTAAAACCAAGATCCAGTAAAGTTTAAAGCATGTCTGAAACTTAAAACCAAGATCCAGTAAAGTTTTAATCATGTCTGAAACTTAAAACCAAGATCCAGTAAAGTTTTAAGCATGTTTGAAACTTAAAACCAAGATCCAGTAAAGTTTTAATCATGTCTGAAACTTAAAATCAAGATCCAGTAAAGTTTTAATCATGTCTGAAACTTAAAACCAAGATCCAGTAAAGTTTTAAGCATGTCTGAAACTTAAAACCAAGATCCAGTAAAGTTTAAAGCATGTCTGAAACTTAAAACCAAGATCCAGTAAAGTTTAAAGCATGTCTGAAACTTAAAACCAAGATCCAGTAAAGTTTTAATCATGTCTGAAAATTAAAACCAAGATCCAGTAAAGTTTTAAGCATGTTTGAAACTTAAAACCAAGATCCAGTCAAGTTTTAAGCATGTCTGAAACTTAAAACCAAGATCCAGTAAAGTTTAAAGCATGTCTGAAACTTAAAACCAAGATCCAGTCAAGTTTTAAGCATGTCTGAAACTTAAAATCAAGATCCAGTAAAGTTTTAATCATGTCTGAAACTTAAAATCAAGATCCAGTAAAGTTTTAATCATGTCTGAAACTTAAAACCAAGATCCAGTAAAGTTTTAAGCATGTCTATAACTAAAAACCAAGATCCAGTAAAGTTTTAAGCATGTCTATAACTTAAAACCAAGATCCAGTAAAGTTTTAAGCATGTCTGAATCTTAAAACCAAGATCCAGTAAAGTTTTAAGCATGTCTGAAACTTAAAATCAAGATCCAGTAAAGTTTTAAGCATGTCTGAAACTTAAAATCAAGATCCAGTAAAGTTTGAGAAAAAGTACAAGTGGGCTTTGACAATTTCAATTTGAATTTTTTTTATAATTAAGAAATAAGAAAAAGATCTAAGTAGGCTTTGACAATTACAATTTCAATCAATTTTATAATTAAGATAAGAAAAAGTTCGTAGTGAACTTTGAAAATTTGTTGAAAGTGAAAAATCATTGTGGAAAATTAATTCAATCATTTAACAAGTATTTAACACACTTTCACAGACATTGTGAAAGTAAAATTGAAATTGTGCTGTCGTTGGAAATAAGATCCAGTAAGTATAAGCCTGTTTGAAACAAAAACAAAATAATCGAGTAGGAAAAAAATTAAGAATTATAAACAAAAAAAAAATATTTTCATTATGATACAAATAAAGTTTGTATTTAATAACATAGATGCAGGATGCTGAATCTTGTAAAGGAACTTGCTAGTTCCAACATTTTTTCACATACATTTAACTTAATGCATACTGTCACAACCATTTTATTAATATCACACTAATACCAACAAATATTTCCGTTGTAAACAAAAAATAAATATGTTATGTAATAATCGGTTAAACTTTTCCCATACAAATATGTTTATGCATCTTGTGCCTCACTGGAAGCATCTTATGACTCCAAAAACAATACAGTTCTTGCGGTAGCCTTTATCTATCAGAAGCAAAAAACCGGAAGTCTTAATATTAAGTTTGAAGCGAGTTATCGCACCGATTAACTAACTAACTAACAGAATGCCCTTTTTTGCGAGTTTTTGGAACTGGAACTGCCAAATGAAAAATTGTTTTCACCATTAGATAGGTATTTCGAGGCACAAACTTTTACATATCAGGTATTTGGGTTGATTTCGTAAGCCTGAAGCAGAAAGTTAAAAAAACTGATTTTCCGAAAAACCAAAAACAATATATTCACAAAAATTGAAAATTTTGTGTGAATATGATATCTATATTAGCATTCTTTATCATTTATAATACCTAGATATGTTTTAAAATGCAATTTAAAGCATTTTTGGTTTCGATCATAATAGGCTTTTTTCAAAAAATATATCGATTTTATATCTATATTAGCATTCTTTATCATTTATAATACCTAGATATGTTTTAAAGTGCAATTTAAAGCATTTTTGGTTTCAATCATAGTAGGCTATTTTCAAAAAAAATATCTATATTAGCATTCTTTATCATTTATAATACCTAGATATGTTTTAAAATGCAATTTAAAGCATTTTTGGTTTCGATCATATTAGGCTTTTTTCAAAAAAATATCGATATTATATCTATATTAGCATTCTTTATCATTTATAATACCTAGATATGTTTTAAAAAGCAATTTAAAGCATTTTTGGTTTCGATCAAAGTAGGCTATTTTCAAAAAAAAATATCGATTTTATATCTATATTAGCATTCTTTATCATTTATAATACCTAGATATGTTTTGAAATGCAATTTAAAGCATTTTTGGTTTCGATCATAGTAGGCTTTTTTTCAAAAAAATATCGATTTTATATCTATATTAGCATTCTTTATCATTTATAATACCTATATATGTTTTAAAATGCAATTTAAAGCATTTTTGGTTTCGATCATATTAGACTTTTTTCAAAAAAATATCGATTTATATCTATATTAGCATTCTTTATCATTTATAATACCTAGATATGTTTTAAAATGCAATTTAAAGCATTTTTGGTTTCGATCAAAGTAGGCTATTTTCAAAAAAAAATATCGATTTTATATCTATATTAGCATTCTTTATCATTTATAATAACCAGATATGTTTTGAAATGCAATTTAAAGCATTTTTGGTTTTGATCATAGTAGGCTATTTTTAAAAAAGTTATATCGATTTTATATCTATATTAGCATTCTTTATCATTTATAATACCTAGATATGTTTTAAAATGCAACTTAAAGAATTTTTTGTTTCGATCATGGTAGGCTATTTTCAAAAAAAATATCGATTTTATATCAATATTAGCATTCTATATCATTTATAATACCTAGATATGTTTTAAAATGCAATTTAAAGCATTTTTGGTTTCGATCATAGTAGGCTACTTTCAAAAAAAATATCGATTTTATATCTACATTAGAATTCGTTATCATTTATAATACCAAGATATGTTTTAAAATGCAACTTAAAGAATTTTTTGTTTCGATCATGGTAGGCTATTTTCAAAAAAAATATCGATTTTATATCAATATTAGGATTCTATATCATTTATAATACCTAGATATGTTTTAAAATGCAATTTAAAGCATTTTTGGTTTCGATCAAAGTAGGCTTTTTTTCAAAAAAATATCGATTTTATATCTATATTAGCATTCTTTATCATTTATAATACCTATATATGTTTTAAAATGCAATTTAAAGCATTTTTGGTTTCAATCATAGTAGGCTATTTTCAAAAAAATATCGATTTTATATCTATATTAGCATTCTTTATCATTTATAATACCAAAATATGTTTTAAAGTGCAATTTAAAGCATTTTTGGTTTCAATCAAAGTAGGCTATTTTCAAAAAAAAATATCTATATTAGCATTCTTTATCATTTATAATACCTAGATATGTTTTAAAATGCAATTTAAAGCATTTTTGGTTTCGATCAAAGTAGGCTTTTTTTCAAAAAAATATCGATTTTATATCTATATTAGCATTCTATATCATTTATAATACCTAGATATGTTTTAAAATGCAATTTAAAGCATTTTTGGTTTCGATCAAAGTAGGCTTTTTTTCAAAAAAATATCGATTTTATATCTATATTAGTATTCTTTATCATTTATAATACCTATATATGTTTTAAAATGCAATTTAAAGCATTTTTGGTTTCAATCATAGTAGGCTATTTTCAAAAAAATATCGATTTTATATCTATATTAGCATTCTTTATCATTTATAATACCAAGATATGTTTTAAAGAGCAATTTAAAGCATTTTTGGTTTCAATCATAGTAGGCTATTTTCAAAAAAAAATATCTATATTAGCATTCTTTATCATTTATAATACCTAGATATGTTTTAAAATGCAATTTAAAGCATTTTTGGTTTCGATCATAGTAGGCTTTTTTCAAAAAAAATATCGATTTTATATCTATATTAGCATTCTTTATCATTTATAATACCAAGATATGTTTTAAAGAGCAATTTAAAGCATTTTTGGTTTCAATCATAGTAGGCTATTTTCAAAAAAAAATATCTATATTAGCATTCTTTATCATTTATAATACCTAGATATGCTTTAAAATGCAATTTAAAGCATTTTTGGTTTCGATCATATTAGGCTTTTTTCAAAAAAATATCGATATTATATCTATATTAGCATTCTTTATCATTTATAATACCTAGATATGTTTTAAAGTGCAATTTAAAGCATTTTTGGTTTCAATCATAGTAGGCTATTTTCAAAAAAAAATATCTATATTAGCATTCTTTATCATTTATAATACCTAGATATGTTTTAAAATGCAATTTAAAGCATTTTTGGTGGCGATCATATTAGGCTTTTTTCAAAAAAATATCGATATTATATCTATATTAGCATTCTTTATCATTTATAATACCTAGATATGTTTTAAAGTGCAATTTAAAGCATTTTTGGTTTCAATCATAGTAGGCTATTTTCAAAAAAAAATATCTATATTAGCATTCTTTATCATTTATAATACCTAGATATGTTTTAAAAAGCAATTTAAAGCATTTTTGGTTTCGATCAAAGTAGGCTATTTTCAAAAAAAAATATCGATTTTATATCTATATTAGCATTCTTTATCATTTATAATACCTAGATATGTTTTGAAATGCAATTTAAAGCATTTTTGGTTTTGATCATAGTAGGCTATTTTTTAAAAAATTATATCGATTTTATATCTATATTAGCATTCTTTATCATTTATAATAC